TAATATCTTAATCATTAAGAGTTTAGGATGTTATACGGTCTTTCTGACATCTGTCACCAGTCGACTATGAATCTCAGACCACTGTTGACTGACTATCATCCTCATGTCACCATTATTCAACTACAGCCCTTTCAACCGCAGTCATCCATCGACTGCAGTCCTCAGATTATGATTATCTGACTATTATTCTTAGACCAGCATTTTCAACTACAGTCTCTTCGATCTTCGCGGCATGACTATAATCCTTCCAACTACAGTCCTCAGACCATTGTATCCCTACTACGATCCTTATAACCCTCATCGCTAGATTATGATTCCTCTGACCTCCATCACTTACTAATTACCATCACTCCAGCCTTCATCGCCCTATAATGATCCCTTCAACCTCACTCACCCGAATACGATCCCACTGACCCTCATCACACGGTAATAGTCCATTCAACCTTAACAGCTTGATTGTGATCACTCCAACCTCTTTCACCTGATCATGGTCCCTTCAACTCCTGTAGTCTAACTATGGTCCCTAACAATGATTCCTTTGACCTCAGTCACCTGACTACGATCCCTTATGCCTCAGTCGACCGACTACGACCCCTCCAACCACAGTTTGCCCACTAACTACGGTCCCTCTGATCTATGTCACCTAACTACTGTCCAATTAACCTCCATCGCTCGATTGCGGTTCCTCAAACCACCATCGCCCAACTTCAGTCCCACCAACCTTCATCGCTTAACTAGGATCATACTAAACAAACAAACAAGCCGATAATCTCTTAAGAATGGCTCTCTTATTATTGGACACTTTCAAGTTTGGCCATATAATATGCTATATTTGATGTATATTTTTGCTACAGTATGCTAGCACCTTCCCCTGATGGAGGACATCATTTATAATTAACAAAAAATACTAGTAGATTCATTTCAACTGGGAGGGAGGCCTTGTGATTTTTCCCCATTTTAGAATTTTCACGTAAAAAGTATATTATCTCTAACAATTTATGTACACTTCTCTCTCTTATTTGTCTGTACATTGGATCTTCATACAGGGCTAGGACGTTAAAGATTTCATCTCTCTATCGCCGCAAATTTTCCATCACACAACAAGAAGGTAAAATTTTAAGTGTATATTTAGATTCGTATTTGATCAAGCTGTTTTTGATAACTTATCAACTATGATGCACCGACATGGATACATCGACACGGACACGACACGACACGGACACGGGACACAACATTTTTTAAAAATATAGGACACAGGTGCGATGTGGACACTGCATAATAACTTTTTAATATAGTATATAGAAATTAAGATGACTTTATATTAAAAATGACAAGGAATAATAAATCAATTTCATGATAACTTGTTTAGCTTATAACATAAAAATGTTTAGTACAAAATATCAATACAACCACAAAAATATAAGAAAAAATCATTTAGTACAACATGAAAGTCCAACTACTCAATAGAGGGAATGATAGAATTAGGTTCAGATGTTGATTTTTTACCATCAATATCATCATCATTGAATATCATTGCTTTCAACTCTGATTCATCTAGAGAAAGATTTGTAACATTCAATAATCTCATATCATCAAGTCACTCGAACCCATCTTCAGTAACATCCCACATCTTATTATCACTTGTCATATAAAGTGAGGTTTTCCTTAATAGAAGATGAAGATTATATTCCTCCTAAATCATAATGGATATTCTCAATTTGAACTACTGTCCTTCAACATAGAAATTATAATTGATATGAAGTGAAATCAAAATATCTCAATAATAAGACAACATGAATAAAACAATATATCGATATTTTGGGGTCCAATGGGGCTCTCCCCTAATGGGGTTCGATGAGAGATGAGATAAAAATACCTTCACTGCACAAAAGAAATTAAGATGAGAATATTCGATGATTGGGTATTAAGTGCGGACGTTGATTTGATGTTGTGGATAGAAAATAAGAAATTTAGTTTAAATCCCGCAAAATACAAGAAATTATATTTAAAAAAATTCATAAAATATTTAAGATTTGCGTGTCCGACACGCGTGTCCAATTTGCATTTAATATTTTTTAATCAGACACGTTTTCGGTGTGTTCGACACGTGTCGGAGGAGTGTCGGACGAGTGTCGTGTCGGACACTACACGCCTCTTTGATTAAAAATGTCGGTGCATCATAGCTTATCAATTATGAACATATTCTAAGAAAAGTTGCACTTCGTCATAGCTCAAGAGCATATATAAAGTTGCAACAGTCATATTTTTGTCACTCAAATTATCATAAATCTAGTTTTTTTTTTTCTTCTTCTTTATGGTGATGAAATTATTGAGTATATCATAACAAAAACTTTCTCATTATACATTATATTTAGTAGTCAAAGTTTTCATCCAACATATCATGATAAACTTTGTTGCCCAATTTTAAAACAAACTAAGATGTGTTGCAATCATTTTTTATATTATAGGAAAAATTCTAGCACGCAATAAGAATTGACTTTAATTTTTCGATTGACAATATGTCCACCTGATAAGCTTGACCTTTTAAGCCTAATTGAGTACTATCAAAACCTTTTAAATTTGATCATGCTTGAATGATGAGAAAATTAGCCAAATTGTCTTACAACAACGTTATGTGTGAGCTTCATGTCCTTGAGATAATGAACGATTAGAGTCAAGCTATGGAATCTGAAGTTTATTTTGGCTATAATTTTGAGATAGTTGTTGTGAACTAAATTATTTAGGTTTTATTTGAGACAGTTTTAAGTCACTATTTTTTTCTCGTTTTCAATAGATTTTTATACTAAAAAATAGCTTTATAAAACTGTAAAAAAGTAGTCCCCGACGATTCCTTAGTGGGTATAAGGATGCTTGCATTATAATTCTTGACTATCATTGAAAGTCATCAATATAAAGATATTATAAGCATATTTTTATGCATCTGTCTATCTTTTGTTCTGAAACTAAAGAAGCAAACCACACATCTGAACTAGAGATCTTTTATATTTGATAAGCATAAATTATGAAGCTCGAAGATCATTCTTAGTTTAGGTTCAATGCCTATATAAAATCTAGAAGTTAAATTATCATTCTTGCACAAATCTTCTTACATCATCTAGGCTCACTTGTACTATAAGTTCATACTAGTTATGCATAATGATACAACTTTATTGAAACAATGTTCATTAATTTCAAACTGTTTATCTTTATCAACTTCAAAAATTTAAATTTAAGTTTCTTACCGCTTTTTAAAACAGCGTTTTAGTTGAAAAATTTCTAGAGCTAAAATATTTTTACATGAAAGCAACTTTAACAAATAGTAAAAAGTTATCCCAGGCTTCGTTTGGGACGGCTTTTTTGTTACTACATATCTAAAGCAGTTTTTTTAGTACAAAAATTTTATAACAAGAAATTTTTGTACTAAAAAGTTGCTTTAGAAAGTAACAAGAAAGTACTCTCAAATGAAGCCTTAATTTTAAATTGACCTAAGTATATATATGCACTACAACAAACATGCATTTGATTTTTTTTTAATAAGCACTCAATGCTAGTTCAAGTCCTAAATCAAGTAATTTGAGGATCAAGAACCAATTTACAATTGTCTTTTAATTAGGGGTGTCAACTTCGGATCACAGGATGGGTTCGGGTCAAACCAAAAACTGTTCCAACACTATTCGGGTTCGGGTCGACCCGACCCATTTTTGCAAACGGGTAGATTTTGTGGAACCGAACCCGACCTGCGCGCGGACACGAAAGTGGGCCGATCGCCAGCAACAGCGGAAGCCTATAGAAGCGGTCGGCGACTGACACATGACCCGTGCAACGCGGAACTGCCTATCGACTGATGCGGCCGGCGCTGGCCTCGAGACGCGACGCGAAACTGTCGTGGAACTAACGCTGGCCTCGGGATGCGATGCGGCCGGGTAGCCAGGGCAGGCAGGCAAGCGGGCACGGGGCAGGCGAGGCATCTGGGGCGGGGTCATTCCTGGCAGACAGGTTTTTGTGTCATTTCGGGTCATTCCCGGGTTCCCGGGACAACCAAAACCCGACCTGATTTTTCAAACGGGTTGATTTTCCGGCCCGAACCCGACCCACTTCGATTCGGGTCAACACGAACCCGAAATTTTTGGGTTGGTTTTTGGGTCAGGTCCAATATTGACACCCCTACTTTTAATTCATGGTGTAGCACATAAGAGAACATCTAATTGTGCAGCAATGTATTGCCAACTTAAAAAAATGATATAATTTTATTTTAAAATATTTTAATATAAGATTAATTAAAAATTGATATTCCTAGGAAATGAAGATTTTTGGTTGCATCATAAAAGCTTATTGTATGTTGCAAGAATTTTTTTTTCTTTTTGTGATATACTTAAAATAATTAATTCTAGATTAATGTTGGGGATTTTTCTTTTAAGGATGAACTAAGGTCTCTTTTTTAAAAACATATAATCTAAGAATTCCATTGAATATATGTTTATTCGATTAACAGATGAGCATAACATTAAAAAAAAAAATAAACAGATGAGCATAACATGTATTTCCATTTAATCTTTATCATTGGCCAACAAAAAAATATTAAAAACTAACATTATAGTATATTGGCAAATATTAAAGTGGCACTATCATTTATATATAGATCATATGAATATTTCTCTGATAAAAATAAATTTATAAAAGTATTCAATAAAATACAAACCACTCCATGGTCTATCAATCTGATCACTATAAATCTCATGAATGGAGTACAAGCTATAATTAACACCACACATACTATAACATAGAATATGAATCATCTATTAATTGATATGGAAAAAGGCATGATAAATATAATGATAATGAATTAAGGATGGTTGGGTTGTGTCTGCACTTGTGAAAACTTTGGTTTGGGCAAAGTTGACAATTCTGGCGAGGGAGGCGACTCTAGTTTAGGTAATGTTGGCTCTTCAAGTTTGGGTGGGGATGGTTCATTGGTTTTGGGGGGTAACTCTGTATGAGGAATGGAAGGAACTTTGGGTAATGGAGGAAGCTCGGGAAGCGTTGGTTGCTTTGGCACTGGTGGAAGCTCAGGTTTTGGAAACTTCGGTTCTTCAGGCTTTGGTGGTAGCTCTGGCTTAGGAAGTGTTGGTTCTTCAGGCTTTGGTGGGATTTCTGGCTTTGGAAATGTTGGCTCCTTAGGCTTTGGAAGTGTCGGTTCTTCATGCTTTGGAGGAATCTCTGGCTTGGGAAATGTTGGTTGCTTTGGCACAGGGGGTAGCTCAGGTTTTGGAAGCTTTGGTTCTTCAGGCTTTGGTGGTAGCTCTGGCTTAGGAAGTGTTGGTTCTTCAGGCTTTGGTGGGAATTCTGGCTTCGGAAATGTTGGCTCCTTAGGCTTTGGAAGTGTCGGTTCTTCAGGCTTTGGAGGAATCTCTGGCTTGGGCAGTGTTGGTTGCTTTGGCACTGGTGGTAGCTCGGGTTTTGGAAGATTTGGTTCTTCAGGCTTTGGTGGTAGCTCTGGCTTAGGAAGTGTTGGTTCTTCTGGCTTTGGTGGGAGTTCTGGCTTTGGTGGGAGTTCTGGCTTTGGAATTATTGGCAAGTTAGGTTTTGGGAGAGTTGGTTCTTCAGGTTTTAGTGGTGCTTTTGGCTCAGGAAGTGGTGGCGGAAGTTCAAGCTTTGCAGGTGTTGGTTCTTCAGGCTTCGGGAATGTCAACTCTTTAGGCTTTGGTGGTAATTCAGGTTTTGGAATTATTGGCAAGTTAGGTTTCGAGAGTGTTGGCTCTTCAGGTTTTGGTGATACTTCTGGCTTAGGAAGTGGTGGTGGAAGTTCAAGCTTGGGAGGTGTTGGTTCTTCAGGCTTCGGGAGCGTTGGCTCTTTAGGCTTTGGTGGCAATTCAGGTTTTGGAAGTGTCGGCAAATTAGGCTTTGGGACTACTGGTTCTTCAGGTTTTGGTGGTAGTTCAGGCTTGGGAAATATTGGTGGAAGTTCAGGCTTCGGAAGTGTTGGTTCCTTTGGCTTTGGAAGCGTCGGCTCTTCAGGCTTTGGTGGCAATTCAGGTTTCGGAATTGTCGGTAGGTTAGGTTTTGGGAGTGTTGGTTCTTCAGGTTTTGGTGGTAGTTCTGGCTTGGGAAATTCAGGTTTGGGAAGCGTCGGTTCCTTCGGCTTTGGGAGTGTAGGCTCTTCAGGCTTTGGTGGTAACTCCGGTTTTGGTAATACTGACTTTGGCGGTACTTCTGGTTTAGGAAATGTTGGTTCTTCAAGCTTCGGCGGCAATCCAACTTTAGGATTTACTGGCTCTTGAGGCTTCGGCAATGTCGGCTCTTCAGGTTTCGGTTGAAACTCCGGCTGAGGCAAAGTTGGAGAATCGAGTAGAAGGCGTGCAGCTTGGCTTGCCGAGTTGCTCAATAAGATGAGCACAATAAAGAATAAGAGTGTGAAAAAGGGTGTACGGGAAGCCATGATGCAAGTACAAGAAGACAATATGGAGCTCCAAAGGAATCAAAATAGATGATGCAATGATCAGGTTTGTGCTGTAAAGTGGAGATCAAATTGTTCTTATTTATAATGTCTCATTCTAGTGTGCTGGTCTTAAAAGAAAGTGTATAATCTTTTCCAATGGCGTTAAGAGTTGGTGGTTTCAATAATGTTTGGTTGTTAGCGAGTTGGTGTGGAACAAGAGAGAGAGAGAGAGAGAGAGAGAGGATTGAGCTTGGGGAAGAAGTAAACTTGAGGGAAGGATTTGGTAATTAATTAGTTCAACTTCTCAGGAATAGAGAGGAACAAATGGCATGGTAACTACGCGGTTAGCGATTTGCGTAATGACTTTGGCTACCATAACAAACACTTAAAAACAAATAATGTGGAAAATCTGAGCGAGGAAACGTACAGAATTAGCGAGCAACGGATGCTAAGCAAAGCTTTTCCAGAATGTTAGATCCCATCATGTGATTGTTATGGTGACAGATAAAATTATTTGGTAGTGGTTGTAAACTAATTTAATTAAAGATGCTAAAAATTATTATCATAATTAATTTTATGAGCTAATCCCTTTCACATTTGTGTTTCCAATTTTTAAATTTTCTAACAAAAAAAGTTATATTTGATGGTTTATTATTATTATTTTTGTTTTAATTTATGTATTAATTTATTTTTTTTATTTTTTGCACATAGAATAATGCTACATTATCTCGACGTGAATAAATTCTCTTTTTTATATATATACGGGCCTAAAATTTGTAAGTAAACATATATCATATTTTAAATAAAATATGGGATATATAAAATATCCTTAAAAAACGATTTGACATTCAAAGTTTGAAAATTTTAGCCTAATTGTGTGAGAGTTTGATAAATAAGTAAAGCTAGTTTTCATTATAAATTATAAATATATTTCTTTAAAATTTGAAATAAGTTCAGCTCGAGCCACTTCTAACTTGAGCTTGATTAATTAATAGAATTTAAACTTGAGCTTGAGCTTTACTATAGGAGTTTAAGTTAGGTCACGAGCTACATGAAAGTAAAAAATAATTATAATTCAAATAATTATTATAATTAAATGATTAAAAATGTGAAATAAAAAGAGCTATAATAAAAAGTCACATAATCTAAGAATGTAAAATATAATTTTTAAATACTTTTAATAATTTTATACTTAAACTCATTAATGCTAGCTAAAATCATGTTAGTGTTTATTTTAAATAGTTTAGTTGGAGGTGATATAAAATTTGATTGATTAGTTCATCGAGCTCAGCACATAATCTACTTATCGAGCTGAATTTGTGCAAACTCACGAGCAAACTTTACTCAGTTACACCCCTAATTAAAAATGTTTCATGCACTTTCTTCAAATAGATTTATCTTCGTTCATCCTTTTTTACTCTGCATAATAAAAAAAAATAAAAATAAATGCAAATTATTCTTGAATATCGTGATTTTGGTTGACTATGCAGGCTAATTTAATTATAGGGTTATCTCAAGTGAGAAATAATTAATGCACATTATGTTAATTTGTGTGAAATCTAATTGTTTCGATCAATCGGGTTGTATTGTTGCCAACTCTATTTGTCATGCTCATTAGGAGATGTGGGGGATCCTCCCCTACCTGGGTTTGAGTGTTTGCATCCGAATTTTTTTTGTATAACGCCCCGGTGTTCTGTACATGAACGTCGGGCACTACAAAATTTGCTCGAAGAAAAGACAGAGAATGGAATGATGCAGCACTCCAGATCCCACGCTACGACACTATCAGGTAGACTGGAGACAAAATGTTGAGCGCCGCAACGCTCCAAATTGGCACAACAAAGCTGTGAAGCTAGTTGGACAACTTTATTTTTCTCGTTTTTCTTAGGGGTGACATTCTTTGGTGGTTGATATTGTATTTCTTTGTTTATTCTTGTGTAAGAACATTATAAGAGAGAAGTAAAGAAAAGAGAGATTGAGAAAGAAAAGAGATATGCACTATATTTTCTTAGTGAATTTTTATTTGGTGTGGCTCTGTAGTTTTTTCAATATTTTGAATTTTTTTCACATTAAATTCTGATGTTCTTTTATTTCCGCTACTTTTGCCTAAATTAATTGTAATTGGTGGTCAAATCAACGAAACAATGAATTAAAACAATCAAGTTCTCATTATAGGGGTGCTAAAATATGCCAACGAATCGGTTTCGAGTCTGCCCCTAAATTGGCCCAACCCAAATCAGATCAACTCAAACCCGACTCGTTTAATAAACAGGTTAAAAAATTGAACCCAAACCTGACCCACTAGCAATCCGAACCTGACTCGATAACTATTTTAATTAAAAACATTTTTATTAGCATATTAATCATAAATTTTAGGTTAATTGATAACATAAGTACGTTGGCGGGTCAACCCAAATCTGACCGATTTAATAAATGGGTCCCACCGAAATCCGTCTTGTTTAGTAAACTGGTCAAATCGAATCAGAATTTTTTAAGTCGGGTTGAAGAGTCATGTCATTTTTTGACATCCATATTCTCATTGAATCTAACTATCTTATTATTCCGATCAAATTATCATTATTTTTAATCAAGTTATTAAATTTGGATTCTCAATTGAGTAAGTTACTGAATTAATTATTATAACTTAAAAGAAATTAATTATTATATTCCATTTAAATTTTGATTTTATGATAATTTTGGATGTAATTAATCATGTGTCACTAAATAAATTGCAAAACTTTTTTAAGAGTCGCCAAGCATGGAAAGAAACCTCACCAAAAAAAGATATTTTGTTTTATTGCTCCTTCATAGATATTCCTTAAATATTCCTAAAATAAGTTATCTCTCTCTCTATTAGTTTATTTGACAAGACTATGGCTTCGAATGGGACAGCTTTCAACTACTTTTTAAAACGGCTTTAAAAAGCAAGAAGAAAGCCGTTCCAAACGAAGACTATGTTACATAAAGGGGGAGATGTGGTGGTAGTTTGGATATTTCATTTCAGGATGTTTGTTCTTTTGATATTGATTTTGTTTCCCAGGGAATTACTGATTATCAATTCTTTAATCATTTCACCATTAAAAAGATATTAGTATTTGTTTTGAATAATAATCTTGTCTTTACTGAATAAACAACTGAACTTTCTTCAAATACAACAATAATGATATCAAGTTTTTATTCAACTATGTAGGGTTAGTTGATGATTGTTCAATAAATTTTACGCTAACTGCGGAGGCCTAAGAAAATTCGTCACTTTTCTTATCTAAGACTTGATACCATACATCAAGTGTTAAATTGAACTTTTTTTAAAATATAATTTATAATTACTCTCTTTTATTATTATTTTTTGAGCTAATTATGATTTGGTCTTGTGTTCTTGATGTCGACATTCTAAGCAAAAAATGATTCAACATTTTTTTTATATAGTTTAATGTCTTAGTATTGTACGAATATCCAGCACGCACACAAATAAGAGAGAGGGTGTAGCGTTTATAAGAGACACCATAGTTTTTATGTGGAAACCCCTGAAAAAGGTGGAAAAATCACGGGGCCTGGCCCAGTTTGAATGAACCCACTAGTATTTACAGTCGATTACAAATGAGGACCTTCCTTGGGAGAAGGTCTTGGCTCGATGTCACAAATGTATATTATATAGAGCTCATTACATGGTGAGAGTTAGAATAATCAACATAGACATATTTGTTTGGTCGGCAGGACTTTAGTCGATAGAATAGAGGTCGGAAAGATTGTAGTAGGCAAGAGACCGGGGTCAGAAAACCATTGCCTGGCAATGGATGTTAGAAGGATCGTAGTAGGAGACGGAGGTCAGAAGGACCATATTCGGCAGTAGACAGGGGTCCGAAACACCGTAGTTGTAGGGCGGTACTCCGGTAGAACTCTAGGCATCAAGTGGTGGTCTGGTAGATGTCTGGGCCTCAGGTGGTGGTCTGGCAGAAGTTCAGGCCTCAAGTGGTCGTCCGGTAAAAGTCCGGGCGTCAGGTGGTAGTCTAATAGAAGTATGAGCCTCAAGTGGTGGTCCAACATAAGACCGAGCCTTAGGTGGTGATCCAACATAAGTCTTGGCGTCAGGTGTTGGTCTAACGGAGGTAAGGGCCTCAGGTGGTGGCCCGACGGAGGTGAGGGCCTCAAGTGGTGGCCCGACGGAGTTGAAGGCCTCAAGTGGTGGTCCGGCGGAGGTGAGGGGCTTAAGTAGTGGCCCGACGGAGGTGAGAAGCTCAAGTGGTGGCCCGACAGAGGTGAGGGCCTTAAGTGGTTGCCTGACGGAGGTGAGGGGCTCAAGTGGTGGTCTGGCATAGGTGAGGGCCTCAAGTGGTGGCCTGGGAGAGGTGAGGGCCTCAAGTGGTGGCCTGGCGGAGGTGAGGGCCTCAAGTGGTGGTCTGGCATAGGTGAGGGCCTCAAGTGGTGGCCTGGGAGAGGTGAGGGCCTCAAGTGGTGGCATGGGAGAGGTGAGGGCCTCAAGTGGTGGCCTGGCAGAGGTGAGGGCCTCAAGTGGTTGTCCGACGGAGCTCAGGGCCTCAAGTGGTGGTTCGGCGGAGGTGAGGGCCTTAAGTGGTGGTCCGGCGGAGCTTAGGGCCTCAAGTGATGGTTCGGCGGAGCGACGACGTCAGGCGGTGGTCCGACGAAACTCCGACAGTGGTCGAAAATGAGCGAGGAGGCAAGAGCGATATCTGATCTCTCTCTTGCTCTCTTTCTTGGAGCCTCCCTTTTCAAGAGGGAGGAGGAGTCTATTTATAGATTTCTAGAGTAGCATGACCCGTAAATAGGTGTGAGATCAAGGGCAAATGGGGAATGGTTTGGATGGACAACCGATATTGAATCCCTTGATTGTGGACTGTTCGTCAGACATTTGAATGTCTTAATGATGTTGGAATTCGGCAACCTTGGGTTCGTTGGATTCATCTCGTCGAGGCGCATAACATTTGGAAACTATTTGGTAATCCAAATTATGGTTTGAACCTTCCAATAGAGCTTCGGGTCATTGATTTGGACTCATTTGGGCTCGGATTGAGTCGAATTTGATGTCGTTGGGTTCGTATTTCCGAGATGTTCAGTTCGACTGTAAGTTTGCTGAAATCAGAGTTCAGATGGTCCCAATTTTAATTTTGAAAGTTTCCAACTTGATTTTTCCTCGAGATTCATGCCTGATCAAGATAATTTTTTTGACGGCGTATCAAACATATTTGTAATTATTATACAGATCCGTCCTTTGTTTTTTATTTATATGAACTGAATTTATAAATGGCGTACCTAAGGCTTAATTTTAAAACAGAGCATAATACATCTTAGTATTTTGCCTCAACTTATTATGGTTTGTAGTTTACTACGAGGCGTTTTTCCCTTGCTTGTTGGCAATTGCTGGAATTTGTACTCTCCATTGAAAATAGTCATGGGAGTTCTATCGCTGTTGCTTATTCTATAATGGATGATTATTCAAGACATCTATGGGTATATTTCTTGAAGAGCAAGGACCAGGCAATTGATGTATTTCAAGAATGAAAAGATCTTGTAGAGAACCAAGTATTGTAACAGGGTGAAGAAATTGCGAACTAATAACAGTCTAAAATTCAATTCAAAAATTCTTCAACAAATTGTGTATTGAATATGGCATAGCTAGACATTTGACTAATGTAAATACCCCCACAACAAAATGGGGTGGACAAAAGAATGAATAAAACTCTACTTGAGAGAGTAAGATGCATGCTTTCAAGTGATGGATTTAGAAAAGAATTTTGGGGGGATTTGTAATGTCCTGAAATTGTATTAATAGTTTTAAAATGTAAATCTAGAAAAAAAATGTGCTCGAGCATTTTGTCGTTGTGTTTGAGAGCGCAGCGACGTCAGGAAGCTCCACCATAATGGTGGAGTTTCTGTTCTACAATAACCCTGATATCGACATGTAGCACATCACGTTGAGGCTTGTGCGTCGTGGTAGTGCTTCCGCAACGCTTCCCAGCGCTGTTGCGCTTGTAATCACAGCACTGCATCGCTTCAGCTCAAAATTGTTTCATATTTTTATTTTAAAATTATCTATAAAATTTCAGATCATTACATGAAACTCTAAAAAAAAAAAGGTAAGCTACCTTAACTGTGTCATCTCTGTCACTACATGGTGACTGATATATAAAAGGTTTTTAAATAAATAAGATAAGATAATTTATAGAAAAATGTTAAATAAATTATTAAATAAAGCTCTTAGTTAGCTAATAATTAAATAATAAATAAGCATCATCATATACATAATTCTTATGTATGAGGAGACTTCATTAGCCCCCCGTCTCTCCGTCTGCTAGGGTTTTGCCTTTCTAGGGCTTTTGCCCTAGCGCCGCCTCTTCCTTGCCGCCGGTACGCTTCTTGATGGCTAAAAAGTTGCTTGATCCTGGATTCCTTTCGGGTAAGCATCCTAAATCATTTAAGGATGCTCTATCTGGCTCTAGTGATTCGAGTGTTTTTCCGGAATTTCGTATTTCTATCATTGTTCAAATTTATCTGATTAAATGACTAAATTTTAAAAGTTTATTTAAATTTATTCAATTATATTAATAAATAGGGCGGTTCAACTTAACACAGCCGGTCCGTCGGTTGGTCGGTTCAACCGGCTATTCAGCCGATTTTTACCCAGTTCAATTGCAAACTGATTCTTATTCTTGGACCGGACCGGCCGCCGATCCAGTTCCTTTTTCCTGCAAGAGCCCTAGGGCTACTTGCGAACTAACCGCGGAGAACCCTAGAGGAGATCGGCGAAGTAATCTAACTTGCAGAAATGAGGGCGAAGGTAGGTTTTCTTGATTTGAATCTGATATGCTTCGTGATTGTGTATTTGAGTTCTCATAAGTGCTTCAAGTTCTCCACGCCCTAAGTATTTCTGAAAATTTATATGCTTTTTGTTATTATTGTTTATTTAAAATAGTTGATTTATCGGCACATACGTTCTATTGTCTGGGGTTTGTAGTCAGATTTATAGTGTATATCATGAACATGTTATTGGGTTTCACTATGTATCTTATATGCGGTGTATGAATCCGGTGAATGGTCTCTACTAAATTGATTGTTAACATTGCAATCTATACGTAGACGTATTTTGGTCTTTTCGATGGAAATTTGTCAAGATTTATTTTTTTGGGGGTGTTTGGTATCGGATTTGTCCGTCGTTTTTAGTAGGAATTATGGTAAAACCAGCCAAGCACTGTCCGCCCCGCTGTAAATCCGTCGGTTTTAGTGGGATTTAGGTTTGCAGTTTTTCTATAGACTCCGCCTGATTTGCTGCTTTCCATTTTTTTACCTTTGTTTAACTGTGAATTGAGGAAAGCCAACAACATGATCATAATTGTTGTATCCAAATTTCTCGGTGGATATACTCGACATTACTAGCAGGTGATCTAAAAGTTAGAACTAGAAAACTGAGTAGAGTTTGAGTGAGAATGGAGAGCTAGATAAGAGCTATAGAATCTATAAATAAAATCCATGGCAGTAATATGAAGCAAAAAAGATTCAAAGTTTGCTTTTCAAAATAGGTTGTTAACATAGGCAAATTAAAAACCTATAGTTGAGATGTAGAAGATAACTATTGTTAATAAAAATGTTATTGTAGAAGTTTGAGAATAGTTTAGAAATGAGCATACATAAGTGAAGAAATTTACTGGTTATTCAAGGTAGTAAACATTGTTATTGAGGTAAGAAAATGTGCTTTTCATGAATGGAGAAAATTAACTATTAAGCTATATAATGATTACAAGGAAGTCAAGAATCTTGCCAAGTGGATGGTGGGCAAAGTAAAAGCTACAACTTTTAGTAACTTATGTAATAAATTAGGTTTCAAGGAAGGTGAGAATATGCTATTTAAAATAACTCTAAAAAAGAGATGAGAAATTTATATATAACTTGATCGAGCTGCATGCATTTAAATTCAAGATAATGCAATCATGGAAGATGAAAATTCAATAGTGTGAAATTATTAATTGAGAGTTTTATGGAAGAATATTTTTCAATGAGCAGAATGGACAAAATGTTGAGTTATATTACCTCTAAGAAAGAGTGTATAAAGATATAGCTTTGGGTCCATATAAGATTTTGATTGATATTTCAAGAGTTATGGGTGATAATGGACTGGTTTAATTAACATTTATTTTTAATTGACTCCTAATAGCTAAGAGAATGTCATATAATTTGAGAAGAAACATTTCTATATTATTCAATAATAAATATTCAATGTTTTAGTTATAGGGGAATGAGTCACTCAGTGAAGTTGTTGAATAGAGTACTGAAAATGAACTTGAAAAATTATGCTAATATGATAGATTCAATTTTGTTATATGCCAAGAAGATTCATTATTAGTATGACTTTTGTGCTAAGGGAATAATTGAAGTATATAAGGAGAAAAGAAAGATCTTCATGTAGTTAATTTAGTGTGAAATAAGTCAAAAAGATATGTTAAAAGCTATGAAGCATGAACACTTTAGAGGTGAAACTCAAAATCAAACCACGCATTTGAAGGAATTTATAGAACTCAAAATCAAATTGTGCTATGAGAAGGTATTAATATTTGCAATACATATATCTTCTCTTTGTCAAAGCTATCTCGCATCTCCTCTTCATCTAATCTATCTCTCTTCTTCACCTCAACATCTAAGCCTTCTCGCGTCTTCGCCTCAATGTCCAAGCATGTCCGCTAAGGCGTAAGCCATTTCGCATCTTGACTTTCTGCCTCAATGTCAAAGTCATCTCGAAATCTCCAATGACTAAGAATAATAGTATGTATGTTAAAATAAATATTGATATATAGGATCCAAAGTAGCCATTAAGATTTTCGCTCGAGATTTATTTTTGAATTATATATATTTCATGTATTGTAATAATTCAAGAAATGTTATTTACATCCTTCAAACATATCATATGAGAAGCTTAATTCAAGATGCTAGGATTTTGAGTGAAAGGAAATTAATGAAAATGATTTAAGCTGTATACATTGTGTTTAACTTAAAAAGTCTTAGAAGATCTTGTTTATATTTGTTGTTTAATTTGTAAGTTTTAAGTTTCTTATATTGTTTAGTAGGATTCTGATTTCTAGCATGGGAACTACTATGTGCATATAATATTATGTTTCATCTTATGATTTATTTATTTGCAAACATTAGAAATTATATATTTCATATTAATAGTTTATAAAATATAAAAAATTTCATGGCGTGTCATGTCCTACTTTTGTGATTTGATTGTATCTTCATGTTCCTGTATATGTCATATTCTGTCGTTTTTATACCCCATGTGTTTGTGCTTCATTGGTCAAAAGTATGTTGAAGTTATTAATATGTGTACAGACCATTAATTAGTATTTGAGTGACCAAAGAGATATCAATCATAATTAGTTTGCATCAAGGATCAATATTACCCTTTTTTTGGTATTGGTCATGCATATGCTTATAATGGGAATTTAGAGTGAAATACCTTAATGTGCCTTTTGAAAATAATATAATTTTAATGGCGCAAACTTTATTGAAATAAGTAGCATATTGAAAAAATGGAGATAATGTTAAAAGTTTAATGTTTTTTGGATTAGTGGGATTAAGAATTAAGTACATCTTACGAAATTTTAGTTTGTGATATTGTTATTTGTTAACAAATAGTAGTAGAGCATAAAATGATAGAACTGTTTATCATATCAGAGAATGGGGATATTGATGAGGATAACTTCTATAGCTAACGACGAGTAATCAAAATTGAGAACTATCTCAGTAATATTAAGCAATAAAAGAAAATTATGGAGACTTATAGTTATAATTTATAAGTTTGGTATCTTAGAAATAAAAATATCAACATGGATTTGTGGCAAAATTGGGAATGATGGAATGAAAAATGAAAATTTTGTAGGTTGCTAATAGAAGCAATTTGAAAGTGCTTTAGTTGAGAAGATAAAATGGCTAGTTCCATTAGAAATATTAATATGAACGTTTTAGTAAAGTATTGGCATATATATTACAATAAGAAAGAGATTTATATGGAGTTTGAAAGGTATATAGTATAATTAAGAAAAAAAGTGTTTTTAAAGAGTGAAAATAGCTAAATTTGAATGCAACTTTTAATAATTATAAGAAAAGTATAAGTCTTGTGAAGAGAATAGTGAACAAAGTAAATATTATAGTTTTTGGTGATTTATGTAGTATGTTTGATGCTAAGGAGAAAAAAAGCTATGTAAAGTGGTTAAGCGTTAAGGCAATAGATAAGGGATCTAGATATTTTAATCAAGTTAGATAAATTAAAAGAACAAAAAAAGGATCATAGTTAAAGACCAAGTTGTCAAAATAAATATCAAAATGATAACTGGAAGAACTAGTAATTGAGAGTTTTTTAAGGAATAAAGCATTTTGGAAGAGCATAATAAAGAAAATAATGATGTATATTATAGATTCGAAAAAGTGAAATAGTGCTAACTTAGAAGAAGATTTGTATAGTTAAAGCTCCAAGTCTAGATGAGATACTATTGTGATTTTGAGTATTGTGAGAGATACAATAGTTTGGTTAATAAATATTTTCAATGCAATTTCAAAAACTAAGAGCATGCCAAATGATTGGAGAAGTTATATTGTAATACTAGTATTTATGAATAATGAAGATGTACAAGATTGTATTAAGTAAAGAGAAATCATACTTGTTACTCATAGTCTCATAAAGTAGTGCTATGGAGAGAGTAGTGGGACATAGAATTGCAAATTTTACATCAATTTTGAATAATCAATTTGATTTCATGACGGGAAGATCTACAAGTGATTTGGTATTAAGACAATTAATTAAAAACAAAGAAAGGAAAGAAAAGATCTTCAAATGATTTTTTTTAATCTTAACAAAATGTATAATTGAGCATCATAATATTTAATTTGGTGAATTTTGAGATGGAAATATGCATGCCAAGTTTTGTTGAAGTTATTAAAGATATGTATGGAGCACGAACTTGTATTAGAAGCATTTTTGGAGTAATCAAAGAGTTTTCAACTATAATTTATGACTTCAATGTTTAATACTATGATCCTATTTTTCCATTATTTATTAGCGAGATACTTACAAAAAGATATTCAATACCAGGTGCTTTGTTTTTTTTTTTTTAAATATAATTGTTTTAATTGATGATACATCTGTTGAAAATAAGTAGAAAGTTAGAATAATTACAAAAATATTTTGAAGATAAGAGTTTAGAGTTAGTAAAATCAAGATTAAATTTATGATATGTAGTTTTAGTGGGTCCGATACTAAAAGTTTTTAATTCATATTACTAGAATTAAAGTGATCACTAGATGCAATAGGTATAAATTATATAGATAAATGACTCGAGTTCGAGCTCGAGCTTGAGCTCGGTTTTTGATAGTCGAGCTCAACTCGAACACCCTCTAGCTCGAGTTCGACTCGACTCATTTGCACCCCTAATTCCATCGCTTTTTTTGAATAATTTGAAATTGTGATGTTGGTTTCTCTGCATCCTTTTCCTAACTTAAGGTAAGAGCTCCTTGCAGTGGAAGAAGAAGCGCATGAGGCGGCTGAAGAGGAAACGTCGAAAGATGAGGCAGAGATCGAAGTAGTAGTATTACATGATGTGTCTGTCTGCCATATGTGGATGGTATTAGTATAACCACTATGTTGTTGAATCTTTATCTTTCTGTCAAACAGTTAGCTTGATGTTGGAGACCTTTCTTGCTGTGTTCTTTTTCTGGTTTTAATTTTATTGATTTTGTTAACTATATATCAGTTTGTTGATTTTTCTTCTGAGAAACAATTATGTGCTACTTAGGCTTCAGTTGGGACGGTTTTTTTATTTGCTTTCTTTTAAAGTGAGAAATTTTGTATTAAAAATCTGCTTCATAAAATAATAAAAAAGTCATCCCAAACAAAACCTTAGTCTGCTATATCATGGCTATCATTAATATGTTTGCATTTGATAATCAAATCATTATGGACCTGAAAAGTCAGAAGCCACCAATTAATGAATCAGATTCAACCAGGTGGAACCTAAAACTCACTAATCTTTAGTGATCGAGAGCTAATCATAATATACTGAGCAAGATCAAACAAAATACTAAATTAGTTCAGTAATTGAAGTCTTCAAGCTGTGCTTAGTTGAAAAAAAAAATCTCTCCTGGCTTCAGAGGCCAACGGGCGGCGGCGGCGGAGGAGGAGGAGGAGGATGATGATGCCGCGGAGGAGGCGTCCAAAAGAAGCGTACTGATGTTCTTCGCAGCGTATGCTTGTTTTCACTCCCAAAGCCGATCACTTCTTCCTTCAACAGCCGAGCTTCAGCCATTAACAACAGGCCACTGGCTGCAATAACAGCAAGGATAACTCCACATAAAGAGATCAGCTTATTTGCCTTCAATGCCATGGCTTCTGATGAAGAAATGTTCTTCTTTTTAACTATTTATGTTGGTACAGATGGTGTGATGAAGATTGGACGAACTAAATTTTATAGGCACTGTTAAGTAGGCCAAGATAGGAAAACGGTTAAAGGAGATAATATTATGAGTATTTTATGCATATAATAAATTAGTTTCACTCATTATCTTACTTGGCTGTCGCCCACTGTATTCGTAAAAATACAAACCTCCTACGATTAGGATTTTCTCCCTCATTGTCTTACTTAATATTGGAGATTAGTAATTGTGTATAACATAACAACAATAACATCAACATCAAATTTTTAGGGTTTATATATGAATATTTTTTTATCCATTATTAATCAATTTTTTTTAAAATTTAATAAAAAAAAAAATCATTCCTAATATTTTCTAATCAAATCTTTTTATCTTTACCTCTATCTTTACTAATATAGGCCAAATTTAATAAATCTCTCAATAATGCCCATTGACTCTTTATGAATAATTAAAATGAACTCCAACTATATTAAAATATTATTTTGATCCCTAAACTTCTTAAAGATGAATCAAAATAGTCTCACCATAAAATTATTTTGATTTCTTTTAAAAAACTTAAGAGATCAAAGTAATTCTTTAATATAATAAAGATTATTTTGATCTTTCATAAAAAATTAAAAGATCATTTTGATTATTTTTTCATTTATAAAGAGAGTAAATTAAATTTTGATCCTTCTCTCTATCTTTTTTCCCTTAAAATTTTAATTATTTCAAAATATTTATAATAAGAAAGTTCATGAAAAAAAATTTTTCTTGTTTTAAAATATTATGTAATTTAATAAAATTAAAATTTTAGTTATTTCGTAACTTATAATTTAATTTGAATTAACTTTTCATTCTAACACTAATAATTTCAAAAACATAATAATCATATATATTATTTAATTATTCCAAAAAATAAATATATGGACCTAGTTATTATTTAGGTTTTATTTTTGGATAATTATTTTATTGATTTCTAAAATAATTTTAAGTACAAAATTTTTAAATTAAAATTTATTTATTAAAGAACCACTTTTAAAAAAATTATTCCAAATGAAATCATAATTGAGCACAAGCTGATATGTGGATGTTTCCTTGTGATATATTAGTATTTTTACTTTGCATTGATTAGTTAAAATACTGAGCAAGATCAAACATTAATTCATCTAACTAAAGTTTTTAAGCTGTGCCTGGTTTAAAAATCTCTCATTGCAACAATCTTCCACTTATTTAAATTTGTTGGTGCAGATGATGATGAAGATGGGATGACATTCAATAGGCACTTCAAAGCAGATCAAGATAGGAAATAAGCAAAGGAGACTCATGGGTGACAAATAAAATTTAATCTTAGAGAGAAGAGGAATAAGGTACTTGTAATTCTTGACGACAGAGGATTCAGATCCGTTCCAGTTACCATTTGGATTAGCCCACCAATCAAATGAATATGGCCCTGTTTGCTCCATTCTACACCTTTTAATTACTATTTCTATGCATAAAACACGAAAAATTATTCTGTGCGGGTCCCAAACGGTGTCCGAAGACAAATCAGAACACGCCACATCACTTTTTTATTCGGTATTGATGCTTCGGTGCAGCTGTGTAGAGAATGACATGACGCACTTTGATTGGTCTCCAAACCGTCCGGTGTCAGCACAGAATAATCTCTGATAGAGGATTCAGATCCGTTTCAAAATCTTCTAGAGTTGCATGAGACCACACCTCAATTAGGTTCATGAAGCTATAGTTACGTTTGAGATATAGCTTTTTTACTGTTTTTTAAAATGTTTATAGGGGTAATACACAGTAACATCAAAATGCATATTTTCATCACAGTGGCATCCATTTTAAAGATTTCCTAGCATTCATTTTAATCTCAAATTCAAAGAAACTACCAATTGATCGTTAGGTTGACTTCAATCAAGCATTTCCTAGAGTACCAAAATGTTAGGAAGAAGATGGTAACTTCTGAGCAACAAACAAAGTCAAAAAACAACAATTTTTTTCTGAGACAACAGAAGAAATAAAAGATACATGAAAGCTCACTTTTCCTCCAACCTACTCAAACAAATTCAATGTAAAAAAAAAAAAAATCAATGTAAGAAAGAATGCAAATTACTTATCGCAGATCACACCAAATGCTTCAACCAATGGTATATAGCAGATTGAGATTGGGTGTTCCATGATCAGCCGATAAAGAACAAAACAAATGCAGAAGAAATTAAATTGGATTTTAGCAAACTTTGGTAATGGGAGAAAGAAAGATCCGAGATAGAAAAATGTAAACAAGTTAGTACTCTTTTTGCCCTGAGGAAGCTTCTCCATGTTCTGAAAGAGCTGATGAAAGCCAATCTGAAGTGAAAGCCTGGATCTCTGGCTCAAAATGCACATTCATGTGTACTGGTGTAACAGCTATCTGTAGAGTACCAGTGTGAAAAAGGTTCGGGTAGAAACTATGAGGCTCAAAATCTTTGACTTATATACTAATAGGAAATTATATATTGTTTTACTTACATAGCCATTTTCCACAGCCCTGAAATCTAGCTCATCATCTAAATCTTCCAACTCTTTCTGCAAAAACTTTAAACATAACACAGGCAATTAACAAAACCCGTCAATTCCAAACAATTAAGTTTAAACCTAACCATTTTCTTCGATTGTTTTATGAAATAAGCTGATATAAGGTACTTGAGGAAGGTGCTGATAAATTGAATGATACTAATTCATTTGGGATAATAACTTTTAAGTGGACTGACCATTTTTTAATAACATTTTCCAAAACCATTGTGTGAGACCTTGCTGTTGCTGAATATTATGCAATGATACTTGCTATTGATTATCAAAACAATTCATAAGATACAAGAAAGAAGTCATCAGAGAAGCTAGCTGATACGATGGGTATAGATGATAACAGATGATAACGATGAACAAGTTTTTTTATCGGTAATCTACTTTTGCATATGGTATTTTTTTTCTTAAAGATGGTGAAGGTGTAATTGAAGAGGAAATTGATTTTAGTGGTAATGATGATCATGATGCCGAGTGTGTTGGGTCCACTTAGTGATACATAATTATGTTAATATTTTATTTGTTCAGTTTGAAGGTTATACTTTCTTTTTAGATATTTAACTTCTTATGTGGACATATATTGATATTGATAAAATCATGTTTAATGATTAATGTTAATGTTAGTAAATTGTTTAAATTAAGTATGCTTGATAAAATATTGAATTGTAATTATAGTTAAACTAATATAGTTATTCTTTTGTTGGTCCAAAAACTTTTTAATATGACAAAAACATCATACAAGATATTGTAATAATTTTTTATTAAAAGAAATCAACATAAGGCATTTTGATTATCAGAGCGCTGCATTACCATACCCATACCCACCCACCCACGTACCCACCCATATCCAATGGGTATGGGTATGATGTAGGCCTCATGGGTGGGTACTCAACATCAGAGGATAAACCAATTTACATTGCTAATCACCATATGTCGTATATTACCACAATTCTCACTATATAGTGCACAATACTGAACCGTGTTGCGACCACGGTAAATTATGGGTATGGGTACGCCCATGGCCTCATGGGTGGGTACTCAACATCAGAGGATAAACCAATTTACATTGCTAATCACCATATGTCGTATATTACCACAATTCTCACTATATAGTGCACAATACTGAACCGTGTTGCGACCACGGTAAATTCTGATATATGGCTTGAAAGTTTGCAGTTAGAGCAAAGGGCAACAAGCCTCAAGGCCATCAGTCCATGGCAGACTGCATTCAAAAAGAGTGGAAAGTGGGTGGGTATGGATGGGTACGACATCCCAAAAGGGCGTGGATAGGCGAAGCCCGCCCACGCGGAGCGTGGGTATCCAACCAGTACCCCATGTAGGGCTTTGTTGATTACACTTATTATATTGATAATTTATAAGAGAGAACATGTCAATGACAAATCCTATTTCCATGTTAGCTGACACCGGTAGTACATCCAACATCTAGAAAATTTAGTGATATACTTTTAATCTCTAATTCTAAATATATGCAAGGTGTCTTAAGATGTAGAACTGTTAATGCTCAAAAGCACCAAGTTAAAAACATGCAACAAATGAGTAAAAATTGCAAGATACAAGCTATTAACCTTGAAAAAATAATTTGTAAAAAAGAATAATGATAAACAGGTAATCTTAAAGCAATTCAGCCCAATTTTAATTTTAGGGTTCAATTCAAACAAAAGATCTAGTCTTCTACTTGAAATGATGACTAGAAAATTAAACATCACAAAAATCATGTTTGTAAGTTTAAATTTAACACAAGCAGAAGAAATCTAAACTGCAGCTAATTTAACTATGCCTAATCTCAGATTCAATCAATAATGAATAACATTGAAAAAGGGAAGAGAAGGGAAAGAAGTCATTAAATAATAAAGTCTCATGCATATTGTTGGCATCAAAATCATGTTTAAAGCACAAAATCTAGCTGCCCAAAAAAACAAAACAACAATATCAAGCTTTTATCCTACTACGTGGGTCGACTACATGAGTCCTTTTTCTCCATTGTGCCCTATTAAAAGCTAATTTCTCATTTAAATCTAATAAAATAATGTCATTTATGATACATTCTGATCAAGTTTTTTAGATCTTCCTCTAACTTTTCTTAACATAAGGCAAATCTAATACATGTACTCTCCTAACTAAGTCATCAGAAGGCTGACGCTTTATGTGACCAAACCATCTAACACGAGTCTCTCTAATCTTATTTAGCATTGGAGTGTGGGCTCCGAAAATTCACGCCACTGACTCCCCATGCTCTCGGGGGAATTTTAACGAATTAAGTTCCGAGCTAAAATTTCAAAAGGCAAATTGGGTTTGTAGATAAGACACTACCCAGAGATTTCACCCTCATTTTGTGAGGACTTTAGATCTGAGTTTTGGTTTCCTATAGGAGCAAGCCCATATATTTAATTACCCCTCTCAATCACAAGAGAGAACTTTTGTTTAAGGCTAGTCGTCAAAAGAATATGTCATACCCGTAGATACATGATGTCCGGCGTATAATAGCAGCATTGGTTTAGGTATTTCAAAATTTGATATTTAAAATTTAATATTTCACGATCTTGCACTTAAAGCGAATTGTGGGGGGAATGATGATGAGCCCGACCAAGATCCCATGATTCCGTCGTCTCAGGCCATCATGGTCTTTGGTCTACTTAGGCTTCGTTTGGGACGACTTTCTTGTTGCTTCTTAAAACTGCTTTCTAGTACAAAAATTAAAATATTTGTACTAGAAAGTTGCTTTAAGAAGCAGGGAAAAGGCCGTCTCAAATGAAGCCTTAGTTAGAGGAGGTAGTCGACCCAACCTGACAGAATGATCCTTAGGTGCCTTGGTTCACATGCACATTTGATAGCGTCGTCATCATCGTCATTGCAGGTATAAACTTTTGAAACTCAAAAATTATGTTCTCAACGTTTGCGGCGAGCCGGAGAACACCCTATACGCGCTCTCATAGCACGGTAGGAGGAAGTCCTGTGCGACGCATACGAAGACAGGTAGGCCCTGTTCACGCTCTCGTAGCATGGCAGGGAAAGCCAACTGCATTTTCAAACAGGTACTTTGAAGCCCCTTACATGCTCTTGTAGCGTTGTGGGATTGAAGAAATACGGTCGCGATATTGTACGACACCTACCATACATGCTCTCCTAGCATAATGGGATGGCCCAGTCTCCTGAAACTTCCCCTAAATGGGGGAGACGTCGAGAGGCTGCCGAAATTTTCAGTGAACCGAGGACCTGAACTTGAATAAATTACAAGGGACCTGATTTGCACTTTAATGAACTACAGAGGACCATAATTGAATTTGAATTAAATGAAATAATAATGTCTTGAATAATTAATAGGAATTTGAGAACTTGAATTTGAACTTGAGCAACTTAAACAGAAGACTTGCAAGCTTGAATACGGCGATGAATTGGACTTGAATTCGAACAAATAACAGAGCATCAGACTTTAAATTGAGAAAGGCATGATCGAAATGAAGACATCAAAACTAAATAATAACTTTGAGCATTCAAATGCATTCAAATGAACCTCAAGCTGGCAAATATAACTAGAAAGATTTGTTTGATTAAACAGATTTGCAAAGTGAGTCAGTATGAAGGAATGTAATAGCGCCCCTATCACAAGCAATAGTTCAACTACAAGAAGATACAACAACAAAGGATATTAAATGCAAATGAACAAGCAAGGATTCATGCATCTCACTCATAACCAATAACATGTCGATTCATGCATAAATTGATTGCAAGCAAACATATAAAGTCCTTAGTAAATATGTTACCTACAAATGGTGAATGGTGTAGCTGCAGAAGAGAACATGATTGCTCAATGAGGTAGCAAGGAGTCAATACATCAATTGGAATGTAGACATCGATAAGTTAATTCACTATACAAAGACGGCAAAAGACTTGTAACAGACAATATGACCCATCTACAAGTAATAATCAACGAGGAGCATAGGGAATATGATGACCTGATTGCGAGAACAATGAGAGGCAAGATGATGATAGTAAATGTTCAGAAAGAAGACATAAGAGCTAGTGCACGGTCAATGCTACTTGATTACGGAGCAAATGCACTAAATCTCCACGAGCCATATTGATCAATATGCAACGAATATGTAACATGCCTATGCGAAGAACATGAAGAGCATATAATGAATACATCAACATCTGCGTCGTCGACAACAGTTCAACTTCGAGTAAGTGTAGCAATTTACTGCAAGCAAAAGGGGTCAATATATACTAAATATAATGACCAAACACGTATATGAAGCATATAATGTATCATCTGCAATCCAAGGCAACAAGTTATAACTAATTTAGATGTTTGCAACGATTAATAATTATCAAAGATGGATAATAAGTACATTGAACCCCTACAAGTAAGAAAGATTGGCACACAATGGACATATGAACCTACAGATTGATTATGACACTTCCTACAAGAGTATGCAAGAAAGATACGATAAATGTTCAAAAATGCTTCTCGTGCATCCAATAATACATGTAGCTTACGAACAAATGCATCAATTTCTTATGAGAATCCAAAGTTAAGATATAATGCATGTTACATATCATCTTCAAGATTTATAAAAAGCATGTGACCTATACAACAGTCTATTCACAAGCAACTTCAAGAGACTTGTGGATCTTTTATGAACAAACAACAAGATATATACAAACGGACGCAAATGCTTACGGGCCTTTGTAAGAGACCCGTTATACATGCTAGAAATCATCCACGAGCAAGATGCAAAAGGACTACAAAGAATATAAATGTTTACGAGTAGCTGCAGGAAACCCGTTTTACATTCAACACGCCTGTAAGCATAGGCGAAAGGCATGCAACAAGTATCAGCATCTACAAGCAATAACAAGAGACTAGTTAGTGCATGACAGTGTACCTGTACAAAACAACAGGCAACCCGTAGTACGATGCCACGCCACTGGATCCGCAACACTCACACAAGCGAACAAAAGCGTTTACAAATTCTCAAATGAGACCCAGCACACTACGATGCCACGCCACTAGATCCGCAACACTCACGCAAGCGAATATAAGGCGTTTACAAATTCTCAAATGAGACCCAGCGCACTACGACGTCACACCGCCAGATCCGCAACACTCACGCAAGCAGACATAAGGCCTTTACAAATTCTCAAATGAGACCCAGCGCACTACAACGCCACACCACCGAATCCACAACACTTACGCAAGCGGACAGAAGGCCTTTACAAATTCTCAAATGAGACTCAACACACTACAACGCCACGCCATCGGATCCGCAACACTGATACAAGCGGACATAAATCATATACAAGCTCTCAAACAAGGCTTCGCACACATTCAAGTGACAGTTGCCCACGTAAACTGAAATTTTCCAAAAATGTCCCTCACACATGCACTACAACATGTATACACACAAACACAAAGAAATGTATACGCAATTGTATGCTCACATGGGCCCCGACGAGCGTGTTATGAGTACACACGTGACGTCTATGGATGCTGTGCAGGTCAATAAGTCAATTTAAGTTCAAACCCGATCCTTCCATGTGAGTTGATAGAAGCCGACATGGCTCAAACCATCAAACAAATATACAGCGATAAAGACGACCAAAATATTTATTTTAATATGTTCATATTAGGCCTTCAAAGTCTATAAGAATGAAAATTCACTAATTAAACCCAAAGCCTACTATGAGCCCGAACTTCTATTAGCAGTTAGACAAAGTCAACAAGATTCAACTGATAATATCCAAAATGCCACCCAAATACCCGCGTGGGCCCTGACAAGCGTGTTGTAGGTACACATGAGGATGCTGTGCGAGTCAAAAAATGAACTTAAGTTTAAGCCCAATCCTCCTCCTTGATAGGGCGGGAGTCGACACGACTTTAACCAATGAACAAATATAAAGTTGCAATATCGACTAGGATATTTAGTTTTTTCTAGGTTCATCTCAGGCCTTCAAGGCCTATGATCATGAAAATTCACTGACAAAGGCATAAAGCGTACGAAGAACTCAATCCTCTGTCGGCAAGAAAACAAAGTTGAGTATATTCAATTTACAAATATACAATTGCCCGATAATATCTTGATGATGGCCGCGTTGACAGAAAATCTCAACTTGAGGGGTTCCTAAACATTCAGAATATTTAGAATTGAAATCAATCATCAACCACTTAAAGCAAAACTCATCCACCCTCCGCAATAGTTTGTTGAGGTGGACAAATTCAAATATCACTTCATCTCACAAAGAGCTAATATATGGTCGAGAATATCACAAAGATTTATTCTCAAAGAGTCTCTTTTCAATAAAGTTGTGGCACGTGTCCTCTAACCGGCAATTTTACCACCAAATGGCACCGCAGGTAAACGGTTATGACAGGAGCCCTCTGAACCGGGTGGTTTGCAACCAAATGACACCACTAAATTACGATCATGGCTAGAGCCCATATGATTCCCAATGGATTTAAATCCTTGAGATATGAATCAATTAGTGGATGGATGAGCTGGATAGGGTGCAACTTGAGAAGGCTTCAAATAGAGGTTGTTGGTTAGGGAAAGAAAAGTAGGAAGGGCTGTTGGAAGCGAGGTCGAGTGGATGCAAGGAGTCGGTTGGGTGTTGAAATGCAGGTGAATCAAGAGGCTCGCGATTCTACAGGCGGCGCGGATAAGGCAATGGTCATGAGGCTCACGGTATTGGGATGAAGGCCGGAGCTTTGAATCGAATTCTACTGGGTCTTGCGATAGGGAGAGAGGGAGGAAAATTGGAAGTGGCTCTGAAGTCGAAGCAAGGCTTGAGGTTAGAGCTTTTGCGTGTAAATGGAGCAGAGGAAGAAGACGGAATATGTACGAGGCAAATTGGCTTTGGGATCTTGATTGACTGGAGGTGTAAGTTTAAGAGGAAGAACGGAATGAGAAGGGAATGGGCTGTGTGTGTGGAGGTTGCAGGCGTCAGCTGCGAGAAGTTCTTACGCGTGGTAAAAAAGGCGACGAAGGAGCTGGCTCGCACACTTATCCACCTGAGTATCTTCATCTATGCAATACTAACTTAACTTTATGCTTCTCTTTTAATGGCCAGCATTCTGCGCCATAAAGCATTGCAAGTCTCACGACCATCTTACAAAACCTAGCTTCCCATGAAAACTAAACTTTTTGATATTAACACATTGTGTACACAAGTCATTGGCAATAAGATCATGGTTGACTCCATTGGCAAAGGTTATCAAGCTTTGGCAGAAAACCTTATCTGAATAAATTTTATGTTGGATAGATAAGATCAATGTTATTTATGTGTAAGCAAGTAAATTACATAAACTTGTCCCTCTAACTGACTTGGTTGATTAAGGGTCATTATATCCTAATCCCTTTAAAAAATGGAAATAGCACTGATGCTTTTTAGAGAGAGTGAGAGAGTTGGAGAAAAAGAGAACAATACAACAATAACATCAAGCATTTATCCCACTACATGGGATCGGCTACATAAATCTTTTTTCTTCATTGTATTATGTTAAGAGTCAAACAAACGTTCATTTAAATCTAATAATGAATGATAAAAACTAAAAAGTTAAAATAGAGATCAAAATAGAGGCTAATGAGTTAACAGGATGGTGATTTACATAAAAAACTTGCTATCATCATTTATACTTTCAGGCCTCTCATCATTGTAATTATCCCCCCATGATAGCCACTCGCATCCTCGTGGTTTTCTAATGACATTCTGGCATGAACCGTAAGCTCAATGCTCTCTAGTGAGAAAAGGAGACAAAGAAAGGGGCCCAACCATCACGAAGGTTGAACCCATTTAATTTCCTTGCGATTCATTGGCAAGCATACCCATATAATTGTAAAGCAATTTGATAATTTTGGTGAGGACACCAGGAAAATCCAAATCAGTACCTATTGCATTGAAAGAGAACTCCATCATCCTACCTAAAATAAACTGTCAATTTATCAACAATAGGTAGTCCTACTCCTTACCATTACTAGCAGAATAAAAGAAGGAAGCAACCAGGCTTAATAACTAGGTGTTAGTCACTAAAATCTCCTCCTATGATGCCAACTTTCTGTTTGAAGAAAAACTGCGAGTAAGAGTGAATCAAAGACCCTGAAATAACTGGAATCATGTTTATAAAATGTCAAATGAAGACAACAGCTCTGACCACTTGCTCGAATATGCCTTAAGCTCTGGCTCCTCTAAATAAACTACAGAAAGCCTCTACCTCAAAGCTTTGGACAAAGCAGGATGGTGAATAAAAGATTGGCAAGGGTGATTGGGTCTGTGCAACAAGGTACCAACTCTAGGAAAGTCCTACAAGTATAGAACCCTTCTCACACACTTCTTAGATCTCCAGTTGTGATTAATTTCAACTAGCTATGCCCTTGGAAGTATGTAAACGAAATAACAAAAGCAGAAAGTTAAAGATATAAAACACTTGAAAAGGAGATTCCAGATGCAACACATAGTTAGAGATTAAAAATACTGATAGCACATAAAGCCAAACCAATACAATGTACAATTATTTCTGCCACCGATGACAATCCATACTGCATGATGGGAAATATAGTACCTCTAAACGGAAGAACTTTTTAATCGTTTCTCGCTGCTCAGGTTTCCCAGCTGCAGCAACAGACTCTACTTCCACAATTTTCTTTTGTGTGCTTGCACGACGAGCTGCACCCTGAAAAGTACATCGTAATTAATTAGACAACATCACAATGGCATATATTTCACTTGAGTGTATATATCAAGTGCTTGATATTTACTGCTGCAGAAGCATCACGACTCAGCTGTGCGAGCTGGACACCAAGGCTTTGATGCATGGACATGTACTGCCCTGGATGCCTGTTAGCTGACACAGCCTGCCAGCTTAGAACAGGTCTTTGTAGACTCTCCCTAGTCACCTTGAATCCCTGCATTAAGTTCAGATAAAGAGTTAAAATTAAAAATAAAACAAGCAAGCCTGGAACGTATGAAGTTTAAACAATAGAAGGTTATAAGATATGCATGATTAATTGCTTTGTTATTGCTTATTCTATGTTATTATAACAATTGTTTATATTCTTTATGCTTCAAAAATTATTTATAGTACTAGAAGTTTAAATATAATGAAAATATTTACCAAATAATTATATGGACATATTAAAATTCTAATTTTATTTTAATTTGATCATAAAAATTTTGAACAAATGCACAATGAATATATTAAAAATCTACTTTTGCTATACATAAAATATCAGAAATATTGTTAAACGAATTATTGTTAAATTTGATAAAAGATTTAAAAAAATATTTATTGCTAGTTATAAGGCTATTTTTTAAGCATCCTATATATAGTTATGCTCAATTAGACACTGATTATGGCTCTAAATAAAAATAAAATAATAATAAGTTTGAACAAGATTTTGCAACTTGAGTCATTTAAGTTCGAATCTAGTTCCATAACAAACTAAATGAACGAGCATAAATAACATAATACTAGGCTTTGTGCTTTAAAAGTGTAGATTGACTCTTATTAAAAGTGTTCTTTGTGATTTACCTGTTTACATGTTTCAAACTATCTTCCCTACTCAAGAGGTTTGTAGTAGGATTCATAAATTTTTTAGCAAGTTCTTCTAGAAAGGTACTTCTTCCTCCTTTAAAATTTCTTGGGCTGCCTGGGATAAGTGTTGTGGTGTGCAAGAGGAAGGTGGTTTTGGGTGCAAAAATCTTTATGACCTTGCTAAGGCTTTTTCCTATAAATTTTGGTATAATTTACGTGCTAAAGAGAATCTTTGGGCCAAGTTTATGATTGCTAAATACTGTGTGGGTAAGCATCCTACTACTACTCCCCCTAAAACTGGGGACTAAAATTTGGAAAAGGCTTTATAAGGTTAAATGGGAGGTGGAACCCTTTATTTTTTGGGGCCTTGGTGATGGTAACATTCTATTCTGGCAAGATAGATGGCTTGGTAAAGACTCTATTGATACGCTTTTCAATTCTATCTCTACTAATACTGTTAAAGTTAATTTTTTCTTTACTGATAATGATTGGGACTATGATAAATTATCTAATATGATTCCTGATAGCATTTTTCATCGTATTTCTAACTTGCCCATTAACACTACCTCCAATGATTTCATGCTTAGTGATTTTTCCAGAAATGATAAATTCAATTTAAAGTGTGCTTGACATTCTTTTAGAGAGAAAGGTAACATTGATAGAATTTTATCTAAAATTTGGCATAAATTAATTCCTGCCACTGTTTCTGTTTTTGTGTGGAGGGTGCTCCATAAATTCATCCCTACGGATGATAATCTTATTAAAAAAGGTTTTAGTCTAGCTTTTAAATGCCAATGCTGTTATCACACCGAATCTATGCATCATATTTTTGTTTCTGGCCCTGTGGTTGTTAGAACATTGGCTCATTTTGATGATATGTTTAATTTAAACACTTTTAATGCTCATTTATCTCTTAATGCCCTTCTTAATTCTTGGGTGAGTGATACTAAAGGTCATATTCGCAATATTATTCCTTCCCTTATTTTGTGGTTCCTTTGGCTGGAAAGAAATAATTCTATTTTTAATGCTGTTAAAATGAATCATCTTATCGTTATCCAAAGGGTGAAAGACAAGATCCTTGCTCTTGTGGCCGTTAAACTGATCACTAGAAAAAAATTTAAAAATTGTTATGGTGCTGGTTACTCTCTTGGTATTAATTGGGAGGGTGCTAGACCTCCTCCTACTGTTGTTTATTGGAACAAACCCCGTGTTAATTTTTTTAAACTTAATGTGGTGGGTGCTAGCACTGAGATTGATAATGGTTGTGGTGGTATTATAAGAGACTGTAATGGTCACCTTTTCATGGCTTTTGTGGGCCCTGATCTGAATGGTAATGAGGTTTCTGCCCTTTTTAACTCCATTTTGTATGGTATTAAACTTTGCATTTCTCTTAACATTTCTAATGTGGTTATTGAAGTTAGTTCTGGCATTAACATTTTCTCTCTTCTGGAGGATCTCCGTTGTAGTCCTAATTACTTCTATCTTGTTAAGGATATTAATAATCTGTTGTTGCTTTTAAACCCGTCTTTTAGCGAGGTCACTGAGGCTGGTAACTCTTGTGCCTCTTGGTTGGCCCATTGGGGTTGTAGTCTAAGGGGCTTTATTGATGTTATTCACTCTAATATTCCATGTCCGTTATCTGGGATGATTAAATTGGATGCTATTGGTTGTCCTTATATCAACTCTTAATATTTTGTTTGCTCCCGTTTGTCTTGGGGGCTGTTGGTTTGGTGTTTTTCATTTGGCTGCTGCTCTTGTATTCCTTGACTATTTTCTGGTTCTTATGAGGTTTTGGTTTAATTGTGGTTGTTACATTATTGCTAATTTTTCCGGGTGTTTTGTTTGTGAGGTTGGTGACTGGAGCAATGATTTTGTTGGATTTACTGCTGATGGTCTATCCTTTTGTTGCTCTCTTACCTATTGGGGTGTTGGGAGGAATAAGGGGGCCTTAACGTGGTTTGTTGACATTATTGGTTGGTTGTTTAATTGCTACTGGCCTTTTGGCTATTGCTCTGATAATCTGGCTATCTGGAATTATATTACGTTTCTCTGCTAGGTTGGTTTTAACCGTGTTTCTCTGGATGTGCTACTGGTTGTTATCTCTGGAGCTGGGCTTTCTTCCTTTTTTGTGTTGAGGTTGTTTTGTCGGTTTGATGTGGTTAGTGCTTTGTTTATCGGGCATTGTGAATTTGGTTATTCTGGGTATTGCTGGAGGATCTGTTCGGTGATCTTTGTGGCTGGCACGCTGAGTGGGATTGACGGCATTTGGATATTCCTAATGAAGCTTATTTTTTTTTATCAATATGCTGAGCTCTTATAGTTACCTTCCTAAGATTGGCTTTGTTGTTTTTAAGAGTGTTTTTCTTGGTGCTCCCTATATGATGCTGTCTGATTTTATCTTGATGCTCATTTTCTATAACAAGTGCTTTGACAGTAAGATTGGTTGGTGTGCCTGCTGGAAAGCTTATGGTGGTAAGGATTGGATTTCTCCTGTTTGTTGTCTCTCTTTTTTGCAGTGGACGACGGTCTGGACGGGCTTCTTTTTGGACAGAAATATTGTATTTTTTGGGCTATCCTTAGATCTTTCTTTTTTTTATGCTTGTCTATAGTATCAGTAGATTGTTATTAGGGATTTTTGTAACTGTTGGTAGAGGAGAACATTGGATCTTAGGCTATCCTTATCTTGGTTTTGTACTCTTTTCGAGCTGATGTTTTCCTTTATAGATCTGTAACTTGCTTTTTATTTAACGCGTAGACCTCTCCGTGGGTTTTTTATTATTAAAAAAAAAAAAAAAAACATAATACTAGGCTTGACTATGATTCATTTACAATCCAAGATGCAACACTATAGTAACAAAGATGAGCATTGAGTTTAAAAAATGTACTCATATAGCAGGCATCATGTCAAAGTAGCATATGAATACCATAGGATACAACAAATAAAATGTTTCATAGATCTATAAGGAAAATAAATTATGTATTTATTAAATATGTTGGGCCTATAAATAAGTACATAAAAGAACACATATAGAACTGTGGGCTCAAAAAATTCGCACCTAGGCCTCTCCATGGACCCCTTTCTTTCTATTTTGATTTAGGGTCGTCGAGTATAGTTTTAACGCTCAAGTTCCGAGGCAAATTTTCAGAAGGAAAATTGGGTTTGAAATAAGACACTACCCAGATATTTTGCCCTCATTTTGCGAGAACTTTATGATATGAGTTTTGGTTTCCTATAGGCACAAGGCCCTAAGGTTAATTATCACTCCCGATAGCGAGAGAGAACTTTTGATTAAGACTAGTCGTCAAAATAATACATAGTATCCAGCGTATAATAGCAGCATGGCTTAGATATTTGAAAATTTAATATTTAAAATAAAAAATTTCACCATCTTGCACTTAAAACGAATGGTGGGGGGAATAGTGGTGAACCCGATCAAGATCCCATGGTTCCGTTGTCCCGGGCCATCATGGTATTAACAAAACCTAATAGGAGGATCCTTATCGGCAACCATGGTTTGCTTCGTCCAATGGTACCTCATAGGCCTGGGATGAATATTGATCTAAGGGGGCAAATTTGAATCCATCTTAGTTAACAGAGAGCTTTGTGCTCTATTAATTCATTACCCTATGATTTAATGTCGTTGGGGAACATACGGGCTCTGGCCATGACCGTAATTTAGTGGTGTCATTTGGCGGCAAACCACATAGTTTAGAGGGCCCCGGTAATTGTTTACATGCAGTGTCATTTGGCGGCAAAACCGCCAGTTAAATGACATATGACACGTCCTTCCTGGCAAGAGATTATTTGAGAATGAATCTTAGTGATATTCTTGACCAGACATTAGCTCTTTGAGAGCAGGAGTGATGTTTAAATTTTCCCGCCTAGGAAAACTGTTGCATAGGGTAGATAAATATTGTTTTAAGTGTTTTGGTAATTGATTTCAATTTTAAATATTTGGATTTTGGTAGTTTCTTATAATTCAAATTTTGTTGACATTTGGGTGGCATTTGCTTGAATGTTTGGAATTAATCACACCGGTTGAAATCTACGTTCAACACGGCCATCATCAGGATATTTAAGGGCAATTATATTTCATTGATTGAACCCTATCAACTTTGTTTACTTGCTGATAGAGGATCAGGTTCATTGTCGGCTGTATTCTTTTATTTGCGATTTTTTTTTGTTATGAACCTTGAAGGTTTAATATGAACTACAAAAACAAATATCTCAGTTGACGCCGCGACCTTATACTTATTCATTGGTTCAAGTCCCAACTCCGGTCCTATCAAGGAGGGAGATTAGACTTGAACTTAAGTTCATTTCTTGACCGGTGCAACATCCTCAGACGTCACATGTGTACCTACAACACACTCGTCAGGACCCATGCAGATATTTAGGGAGATATTTTTGTAATTATTTGTTGAACCTTGTCGACCCTTTCTAATTGCTGATAGAAGATCGAGTTCGAACTTAATTTTTTTCCTTTGACCCGCACAGCATCCCTAAATGTCACATGTGTACCCGTAACACGCTTGTTGAGGCTCATGCGGGTGTATGATTACATGTACATTTCTTTGTGTTTGTGTGTATAAATATTATAGTGCATGTGTGGGGACATTTTAAAATATTTGATGTTGATAAGATGTGTGGGCAACTATCATTTGAAAGCAGCATTCTATTTGGAAGCTCATGCACGCCTTTTGTCCGCTTGTAGGGATGTTGCAGATCCGGTGATACGGCGTCATACTATGTATGGGTTGTTAGCTACTTTAGGCAGGTAGGCTGTTGTGCACTAATGAACCTCCTACTATTATACGTAATTTATTGCATTTATCACAAGCTCGTTTCTTTTGCCTATAGGCAATGTGTTGCGCTATGCAAGCTTTATTGAAGTGGTTTGTACATTAGCAACAGATGCCCAAAGATCACTAGACGTTGTATGTGGATTATTGTATGTGTTGCAGATCTTCTAATGTTGCTTGTAGGATATTGATGCGCTCACTGCATGAACATCCTGACATTTACTGCATGTTGCATTTGTATGTTTGCAAGAGAACTGATATGTTCATTTGTGTGTCATTGTCGGATGTCGGTTAAGTTATAGTTACCTCCAATCTCTTCATACACATTGATTAGAGAGTTTCCATGTTCATTGTACATTGGTCTTCCAATTTTTGTAGGAGGCTGATACATATTCCTACATGCTACTATTGGCAGTTGGTTGAGCTGCGCTCGCCGCTGATTTATCCTTGTATGTTGACTAGTGAGTCGCTTCATTCACAACTTTTCTGCCATCATCATTCACAAGTGGAATGGCATATTCATCAGCAAACTGCATCATATATGTTTGTACGAGGTATTGTCGTTTGCAGACATATTACTATGTTTATTTGCAACCATGCAACATTGATCTCATGCAAACTGCTATTTATTTTGAACTTTTTGAATACACATTGTCTAACAGGTCATTGCATTTATCATATGTTATTCATTGTTGTCCATAGGTGGACTACTGCTAATCTCCTATACTTGTTTGTAGGTGTTCATGTTCATAGAGAGTTATTGATTCTTGCTTGCATATGAACAACGGTGGCATTGCATGCAAGCTACACTCGCCTTAAACTCTTCAAACGCCTCTTAGTTGATGGTGTATTGGTAGCAAAGGGGGTTATTTCCTTTACAACTTCCTTGTTTTAATTGTAGACAGGCTACGTTCATTATACATGACCACAATCAAGTCATCATTACATGCCTCTAGTTGTCTACCTCTGAAAATTTCGGTGTGTGCTACAAATCTTTCATCACATTGTCTGATGATTCCTGACATGAGTGATACTACTATCACTGTTGCCAGTTGGCATTTGCACTTTAATTAATACAATCGTCATGAATAAAATATAGCATTCGTTAAAGATCTTGTGTTGTGGTTATAAGCCAGTTGTGTTTGAATTGCTTTGTAAGCCAAAAGTTCCTTGTTCATTCATTGACTTTCATTTGAATGATCAGGGCTATTTAACATTTGTAGTTTCAATGTAATTATGCATTTATCATTTTAAGGTTAGGTCACTATTTTGTGGCTTGTGTCATGTTCCCTGTGGTCCATGCAGGTTCCACATAATGTTGTTCAGTTCAATGTCCACCGTGCTTATTTCATGTCAAATTAAGTCCATTGTTGTTTGGTTTTAAGTTCCATGTTAGTTGTTCAAATCTAGGTACTTGTTAATCATTCTAAGTCAAGTTCCAAGTTGTCCATATTATTCAAGTTCCCTACTGTTCATACAAGTCCCCTGTATTTGTTCGAGTCTCCTATGTTTCATCGGATATTTCAGTAGCCTCCAGACGTCTCCCCTGTTTAGAAGAAATTTCAAGAGTCATAATCATCCCCTCCATGCTACGAGAGAGCTTCAAATAGGTTTCAGGCGACACCGCGACCGTATTTCTTCAATCCCCGCCATGCTATGAGAGTGCTCAAGGATCTTTGAGGAACCTGCTTGAAAGTGCATAATTTTATTTCCCCGCCACGCTACGAGAGCACTTAAGGATATTTGAGGTACCTGCTTGAAAGTGAACAATTTTCTTTCCCAGCCACGCTACAAGAGCGCTTAAGAGTACTTAATTTCGTCCTCATCACACTCAAGGAGCGCTTCGAGGCCTACTCGCCTCGTCGCAAGCGTCGTATCGGGTTCTCTCTCACCGTGCTACGAGAGCACATATGGTGGTTCGCATCCGTGAGGTGATGTATCTCATTCTGCATCTCAGTCGTGAAATGAAAAAATGTCCCAGTGAGTTCATCAAGTTGCTTCGTGATACTGGCTTGAGCTGCCCACAAAGGGTCCTAACTCCAATCATTGTCAGGAGTAGTGTATTTACTTTCGAGGGCTAGCTATAATACCAACTGGCATAGTAGCAACGGTTGGAAGAAAAGCTTACAGGAATAACAATGAAACAATAGCCAAATATGAGTACATTTCTTCTATCTTCCTCCAACTGATGTCACAATTGGTTATATATCTTGGCTAATACCGCGTTACTATATTAAGTAAAGTAAATAGAAAAAGGTCGATGTAATATTGCAACAGAAAGGGAATAAACTCAATAAAGCTGTAATAGAGATAGTGAGGAGGAGAATAGGAGGTAAAATGTCCTGCAGCATAATGTAGTCCACATCAAAGGGTGTTTCAATAAATCAGCCGAGGAAATACCTTGCTTGTAGAAGGAGAACCAGGGATTTCAATGTTCAAGAGGCATCCTTTAAGAAAAGCTCCCTTATCTGCATCCCTAATGGCAGCTCTTATCAAAGGTAGGCACACATCAACTGCATCCTTGAAATTACTTTCTTGATTTTCATCCTTCCTCCTTGTAATAATTAAACAATTTACAGTGAGAGGAATGCAGGCACTACATAACAAGCCACATCTTAACAAGAAAATATTGAAGAACTTACAAGTTCAATGAAATTGACAATGCAGGTATACCAGACATTAAAGCCTCTCGTGCTCCAGCAACAGCACCTGAGTAGAAGCTATATATGTTTTTGCAGTAAAGTACAGCAACTCAGAAACAGGCATAAGACAAAAATAAATCGAAAATCAGACAGTTGAGTGATTCAATATGACATTAAAGATGAAATAACATAAAGTAAGGAAGCAAATTCAAAAACGTGTGTGTGGTCATTAACAGAAAAACACTATTAAGCTGATTCAGAACTGATCAAAGTGATGAACTGTAGAATAGGAAAGCAAAGAATGGAAGACCGGGTCCAGATGCCTACATGTGACGGCCACAACTTGTTCCCTTATTAATTCCACTGATAACCTATGCAAAGACAATATGCTTATGTCATTCCACAAGATCCACAATCAACCCATAAGCACTTCCATACAATTTCTAAAGACGCATATACCAGGGCTGGTTTGGACCAAGGAAACAATGTGCCTGAAAAGGCCAACGAGACACAATCTGCTGGGGTACCTGTATAGACATGAAAAAGTGATAGAAATTAAGTACAAGTGATTAAAGACACCCCTATGCCAACTAGTTTCTTAGCACTACAATGTAAGTTTCCAAAATATATAATACTGTCACAACAATTGGGATCATAAATCAGGTCAGTATGCAATTTTAATTTTCTTTCTACAGGAAATAAGAAAATGCCAAGCAAAATTCAAGCTGAATTTGAGTTACTTGATTTATCAATGAACATCAAGAAATGACAAGCATGAACAAACTACAGAATTAATTACCAGAAACTGCAAAAGCCACCGCACCATTAATTTCCACTGAGCTAGCTGCAACGGTCTCCGGAAACGATACAGAATGTCCAGAAGAAGATTTATCCCTGTTCCCGTTAACCAAAAGAAAAAAATAAAAAATAAAAACTCTAAGACCATAGTTAAGAAATTAGACATTTAGAGGAGTTTTGGTTGCAAGATTTAGCTGGGATTTATGCTAAATCTTGTAAAACGGTTTTGAGCCAAATAAATCTTCCTACCTTCTTAAATCCCATGTTCTCCCGTTTTACGCTAAACCCCGGATTTCCAGAAGTAAGATTTAGACAACTTCTACTTATTGTTTATCTTATCCAACTTCATGTTGTCCTTATAAATTTTGAAACATATATGTCAAATAGTGTATTAAGATTTAATCAGATTAATCTATCATGCCAAAGAGCCATCAAGATTTAACGCCAAAGAGTTTACAAAATCCAGCTCTTTTTTTAAGGAACAAAATGGAGATCATGTTCCCAGTGAAACAAAATGACAACGAAATTCCAAATGTTAATGCTTATTAGCTTACATAAAAAACAACACACAAAAGCAACAATATTCTCAAACTAAAGATCTTAATTAACACAAAATCAGATCAAAATCGAGAATCATTGGAAACTACCATTTGGAACGCAAAGAAAAATAACAAAATTCACGAAAAAAATAAAGCAACAAAATTCACAAGAATTTTAAAATAACCTAACAAGCAATACAGTAATCAAAAGAAAATAAATGAAATGAAAAGAAAAGAACAGGAAACTGAACTCAAACTCCAATACACCTACCAAAAAAATAAGGAAGACTTAAGACAAAAAAAAAAGTAAAATATAGTTTTTTTTTTTTTGGGAAATTGTAAAATATAGTAATGACATCGTGTATATTCCTGCATTTTTAAAATACATATATGCAAGTCAAGAAAAACCCATCTTCATAAAATTTCCCCGAAAAAATGTATAATCCCTAATCAGCAGACTAGGGCACCAAACTCACGATTCAGGAGCACAAACGAATAGATCGCACAGGTCTTCCCGGACTAGCGCCTCCACAAGTAAAACGATCCCCGGGGATTCAATTCCATCGCCATTAGTCACGAGAACAATGGGCTTGGACCCAGGCTGCAATAAACCGGAGCCATCGTCCGAAGGAGAAACCCTCATCTCCTCATTCGAAACCGTCTCCTTCTCCTCGCCATCTCCGTTGCTACTTCCAGACTCCTTTCTTCCCGCAAGGACGCCCTGAAGATTGGCGATCAGCGCCGGCGGCAGTTGATTCTTCTTCATCGGGGTCATGCTCGTCGTCAGAAGTGGAACTTTTCGTAGAAATACAAACTCTCAGAAGAGAAGATTCCGCTGAACTCTGATAGGAGTTTTTCAGATGAGAGAGAGAGAGAAAATTTGGCGCTGATCAGCCTGCGCAGGGAGACCAGGGAGAGAGACCGGGGGTGGGGGGGAGGTATAATCTGCCAAATGGAGTAACGGGGCTGGGGCTTGTTCCGTTGATTGTAATTTCAATTTAAACTAACCTATATTTATATTATCCGGCCTTGATAATGTGATATTTATTGTAACTTAATTTTTTTATATTAATCAAATTTATTTTCATTGATTTTTGAAAAAAAGATAGAAATTTGATTATATATGTGCTTTAAAATACCTTTTCAATACTACTTTATTTCATGCTATTTACATATATAATATCTAAAACTTCAATATTACATGTCTACCACGTATTAAACAAAGTATAGGTGCATGAAATTAAATATTAAAAATTATAGAGTGGTATGAGTGGTAAGAATGAAATATATGAGTGATATATTTGATATTAAATTTTTATATGAATGGTATAAATGTAATATTAAAAACTTAGGTGTTAGATATATAAATAGTATGAAATAAAATGGTATGTATGTAAATCTCCTTATCTTGTATCATTTTCTTAGAAATGGAATTGCTTGTTGATGTTTGTAAGAAAAAAAATTCAAATTAATTTGATTTCAAATACAAGTTCAAATAAGGTTCGAACTAAGTCAGGTCACAAGGGTCAAAGATACAATGCCTTTCCCATAAGCTTGTTCCAAGAAGTTGGTCGTGAGATATCATGCAATACAAACCTCCTCTTCTCTTCACACATAATCGATCCCATTATTATCTTCTTTGACGAATTCCCACTGTGAAATCTTCATCTCCTCACACGCATCAATCCCCTGTCAACAAGCCCTTATATCGTAAAATTGGTATTCCTCACATGCCGCCAATCCCACCGTCAAGCCCCTAAAATTATCATCGAGTTCCAGTCATGTACCCTATGTTGACCTTTGTCAATCCAGTCCACGAAATCCTAGCAAACATTCCATCTCGAAATCCTGCATAGTGGTTTTGCGATGCCCGCTCTAGTGAACTTCGTTGACCTATTTACGATCATATTTGAACCATATTCAATTTTCAAATTAATATTTGAATTTGAACAAATTCAAATTATTTTCTCATGAGATAAAATTAATAAGCAATTGATTAATGCAATAAGTATACTTAAGCCCGAAACTATATAAATTGAGTGTAAATTAAGCTTTCCCGTTACATAAATAAATTAGAAACTATATAAGTTAGATGGAAATTGTTTATGCAAATATAATTTTAATATCAACTACCACATAGCAGTGCGAGGCACGTGACTTCGCTGTTGGGAATCTTTCTTATCAAAAAGATGATGCGACTTCAAACATACCATATAATTAATTTTTAATAATTATGATTAAAACGTCTAAAAAGAAAATTACCGCTTAACACGAAACAGCTTTAATTTTAATATATATATTTTAGGTGGCTTAAATATATAAAACTCAAAATCAATCTATTTATATATTTACCTATATTATACCACTTGGTTGCCCTTCACATGCTCCATGAGGAAGATATCATGAGATCTTAATGGCGAAGAGCATCAAACACCAACAAAATTGTAGGCTTGTGCAATCTTGAAACCCTAACTACAAAGAAGATTAGACCATTGATAAAGACTTGAAACCCTCATCAATGAAGAAAATTTTGAGGATCACGATAGAGAAGGGCAACGTTAATTAAGATTTCGTTTGAGGAGAAATTATTATGTGCGGTCTCCGAACGGCATCCAGGGGTTAATGAGAACGTGCACGTTATTTTTCTGCTATGCTTGCCGATGTGTATCGCTCGGTATCAGGAGACGTGACGCGATCTAATTCACCTCTGAAACGTTCAGTGACCGCAAAGAATAATTTCTCTCATTTTAGACAACTTTTTATTGCTTTCTAAAGAAATTTTTTGATACAAAAAATTCAAGTTAAAAAAAAATTGGTATTAAAAAGCTGTTTTATAAAGCATTAAGAAAGATATCACAAATAAAACCTAAAAGATAACTATAAGTATTACAAAATGACATTTTTTAATATTATTTAAAGAATTAAATGGTATGTAAGTAATTAATAAATTTAGATATTAAATATGTAAATAAAATATTTTTATATAGTGCATATGAAAATCCTCAGATATATTTATTGGGTAGTGCATTATTAGGAGGGTCAATTATTTAAATTCTTGTTTTATTGAACTTTTTTTCTAAATAAAATTGTCAAAGTTAATGCACGGCTACGAATCATCTTACACCACAATAGACAGAATAGTTTTGCATTTAGTTGAAAACATGAAATCCCAATATATTCATAAGAATCACACGCATCATCAAGCCTTTATCCCTCTACGTGGAGTCCGCTACATAAATCTTATTTTTCTATTATGTTACATTAAGAGTCAAATTCTCATTTAAATCTAACAAAAAAATTCAGTTGTAATACTTTCTAACTGGTCTTTTAAGTCTAAGGCTTTGTTTGGAGCGGCTTTCTAGCTTGTTGCTTCTTAAAACAATTTTTAGTACAAATATTTTAATTTTTATATTGAAAGCTACTTTAAAAAGCAGCAAAAAGCCCTCTCAAATGAATCCTTACTCTGCCTTTTTAAGTACTAGATAAAAAGTGAAGAATTACATTAGACAGACAATATAAAATCAAATAAGTATTTTAAAATCTTATGTGATTTCATCTAGGGGTGTCAATTCGGGTTTGCGGGTTGAGTTCGAGTCGAACCCGAATTGACCCGGCTTTAAACGGGTCAAACCGAACCAGGCTCGTTTTTGTAAACGGGTCGACTTTTTCAACCCGGACCCAACCCACGTGTGTTGCCAGGTTGACACGACCCGACCCGGATTTTTAAAATACTCCTGACGTCGTAGCAGCAGCGACAACGGCGGGGCAGTGGGAGCAGGCGGCAGCGGCAGCACATGACGCAGTGAGCTAGCGACGCAATCGACGCTTCGGGTTCGGGACGCACCGCGCGACTCGACGCTTCGCCAATTCGCCGCTTCGGTCTTCGGAGCTTGACTCAACGCTTCAGAGTTCGGGTGACAACGGCACTCGATGCTTTGGGCAGCACCGCGCAGACAGCACGCAAACTCAGGTTCGACCGGGCAGGGCGGGCAGCAGACACGAGCATAGGGTTTTCGGGTCATTTTCGGGTTGTCGGGTCAACCTGAACCTGACCGTTTTTTAAAACGGATCAGTTTGTTGAACCTGAACCCGACCCGTTTCACAAACGGGTCGACCCGAACCCAGATTTTTCCGGATCGGGTCTGACTCAATCAGATTTTGAGTCGTGATAAAAATTGACACCTCTAATTTCATCCATAATTTATCAAAGTCTAACCATTATCCACACAGGTTTCATAAACGCCTTATCAAATTATGAATTAATCGTTAGTCTCTGTCATATTATTACGAGTCTATTATATATAATATCTTTGGTTATTCTTCGGATCTTATTTGATCAGAGGATAAGAGATATGAAGATCGACAAACTTTTATATTTTATTTAATAATGTTTTTCTCAATATTAATGATTAATAATTGAATTTATGTCAGATCTCCATTCACCTAATCATATAATTTTAATAATAAATTATATTTGATTTTTTAGCAGTAAGTGACAAACTTATTTCATTTTGAGCAATGAAAATTTTTATGTTATTTAAAATTATCTGAAAAAAAAAAAGTTATATGCTTATTTCACATATAAAATAAATCTATAAATACAAAACATGCTCAATTTTAAAATGACAGATTTCTCATTACATATTTGGAGAGAATATTACATACCCAATTTTATTTCATATAAATACAAAACATACTCATCATAAAAAATTATTTTCATTTAACTTAGAATTAAATATATATCAAATGTTTCTTTACAAATATTATATATATGGAGTACATAATAGAAAAATCATAACGGTCAAAATCCCAAATAAAATATGTCTATAGACATATCAGAATAAGTAATCTCTCTTTTTACTTAACCTGTTATTTTTTCGCCCATATGAATTTTTAATAATAAACAAGCACAACAACAAAACAAAATATTATAACACAAATAGTCAAATAGTAAACATAGCACACCACAGAAAAAATAACATCAATTTAAACACTTGACATTAACTACTCATAACAAAGCATATTCATTCACCTGAGGCCCTTACCATGCATTCCTTATGATAATATATTATATAAAAGACCCTTATAACTCCGGTGCTTAGCACCACTGATATTCAAAATTTTTTGCGCTTATTGTAACGACCCAGAATATATATCGAAAGACTTTTATCTTTTTATCTTCAAATTAATCTATTAGAGCTGCTAATTTTATTTTATATCATTATAAAACAACGAAAGCTTATATACATGTCATTTGTCAATATACATTACAAATCAAAATTTAATATACAATAATGAGAATGTCAATCTATAACATTCATCTATTATAACCCGTATAATTACAAAAGAACAAAACATTGCAAAATAATAAATTAAACATTCGAATCTTACTCTAATCAATCTCACTCTATTTGCCCCTTCTTGAACTTGCAAATCAATCAAAATCACAATAATGAGATCATAAAGCTTAGTAGGCTATCAAAACGATCAAACCAATCAATGCAAGACAAGTAAATCAAGATATTATGTATCCATTACTCGGTATTATCAGTATGAAAGTATCCATACAAATGCAATAGTCAATCAATAAACATCATTAGTCAATATAATCAATAATCTAGAAAGGCCAAAGAGTATATAACACTGAAATCTATTAAACATCGATGACTATAAATATGTAACAAAACCACATATTTATACACATAATCTTGAATACACGTACTGTCAGTTGATTTGTATATGTATGGATATGAATATGTAATGCATGAAACAATTATTCAATTTTATTTATTCTTATTTATCAATATTATCAATCATTTAATATATGTAATAACATATAAAAATCTGTATGCTATCCATGCATGCTTGTGATTCAGCAAGACATGACATCCAACTTAAAGGTAGTGTTTTGAACATCTATTTGTCATTCATTTTTCAATCAAACCGCCAC